GTATCACTTTTCCTATGTTTGTTGGAAATCCCAAAGAGAAAATCAAGTCAAGATTGTATCTAATGTTGGGTTTTGAGCTTCGTCGAAAAGCTTGCGATCTTGTGGAAAGATTGACCTGTGCGGAAACATAAAGAAAGTTCGTTAGGACTGGCATTGGAGGTTTTTTTTGGCATACATCCTTTGACGCTTAAGTAAATTGGAACCTAGCAAGGGTAAGTTGGGGCAAATGAAAGGAAGAAGGAGAGGAGAGTTTAAATTTAAAGGTTAAAATTTGGTCCCTCAATAATTTTTTGTACTTTTTTGATCCCTCAACTATATGAAATGCACTCCGTTAGTTCTTCTGTCAAGTTGGGCCATTAACTCAGCCACATGGTATTTTTTATATTTTTTTTATTACATGGCGAGGACAACTTAAAAAGGTGCTGATCTAGACTTTTTTTAATGACATGTCATCTTCCCACGCCAAAGCCCATCCAATGGATCCCACGTTGCCTGCAAACCACCAATAAAGAAAGGTCTGTGAACCCTTAAATGGTCTCTCATCTTCACTCTCTGCAAAATCAATCTAACTCATATCTTCTTATTCTCTGAATGCTCTCTCATCTCCACTTCATCTGCAAAATCGATCTTAACCTATTTCTTCTTCTTCTCTGAATGCTCTCTCATCTCCACTCCATCTACAAAACCGATCTTAACTCATTTCTTCTTCTTCTCTTTTCTATCATTGAACCCAGCTACTGGGTTTCATTGAAGCCTTAAACCTAGTAGATCTTATCAAATCAAATTAACCCTTCAATAAACAATATCAATCCAACTCTAATCAAATTCCATTGTAAATCAACTCCCAAATTTATTAACAACTGGGAATGAAAATCGAAAGAACCCAGTCGATCTGGGTTTCAACAAACCCAGCCTTCGACAAAACCAGCAAGGCTGGTTCGCACGACCAGCAAGGTTGGGTTCGTCGAAACCCAGCAAGATCGTCGAAACCCAGCCTTGCTGGGTTCCGATGAACCCTAACGAACCCAGCAAGGTTGGGTTTAATGGCAAAACCCAGCAGCTGGGTTCAACGGTGAAACCCAGCAGGATCATCGAAACCCAACTTTGCTAGGTTTCGATAAACCTCGACGAACCCAGCAAGGAGGGTTTTGACGAACCCAACAGCTGGGTTCGTCAAAACCCAGCCTATTTCTACCGACCCAGGGTAGGAAAGAAAGAAAGAGAAAGAAAGAAAGGGAAGAAGAGGGATTGGGAGAGTGAGGCTAATAAGGTAATTTTATTTGTTTTTAATTAAAATATAAATATTAATCTACGTGGCATTTTTATTTATTTATATAACATAATTATAATATATATTATTGC